AGGACTACAACCCTATGTGTAGGACTTTTCTTTTCAAAGACCATCACCATCCCTTTCCTCTTTTTGGTCCCATACTCCCTTGCCGGGGTCATTCCAAGAGTGTGAGAACTGCTCGGAAACCAACACGAGTCCTATTAGCATGTGGTCACCCAACATAAAACTGCTCGAAACAAAACACTCTTAATTTTAGAGTTCGGTTCATTCATGTTTGTATAGACAATTTTTTGGAGGTGATTACTCTAATTCAGATGTGATTTCGGTTTGTACCTTCCTTTACTCGAATGTCACTTAAATATTTTTAATATTTTAAAAATAATTTTAAATCTACTCTAAATATTTAATAATTAATATTTTGAAAGAAAATTATAATCTTTTAGCTTGTGTTAAAATTATTTTTCTTTTAACAAAAAATAAAGAGAATTACGCGTAGAAAAAAGGAATTAAAAATTACAAATATATATATATATATATATATATTATTTAATTAAAAAATAGCATTATTTATAAGATTGGTCTATAAATAGGAATTGGCCGTCTTTCTCACGGCATAATTCCATTCATCATCTCTTCCGGATTTCTATCTCTCTCTCTACTGGTTCTGTTTACAGTTCAGCCATGGGCTTTCCGGCAAGCTACACTGAGCTTCTTCTTCCAAAGCTCTTCATCCACGTACTCTCCGTCCTCGGCTTCCTCAGGAAGCTTATCTCCCTTCTCTTCCGCCTCCTAGGGCTTCAAGATTTTCTCGAACCGGACATTCTCTGGCCCAATCAGTCCGATTCCTTTACTACGGGACCGTTGACGGACCTTGATCCTCTCTCCGCGGCAGTTCTCCGTGAGATTCTCCCCGTCGTGAAGTTTTCGGAGCTTTTGGATCCGCCGGAGAGCTGCGCCGTGTGCCTGTACGAGTTTGAGTCTGACGACGAGATCCGCCGCCTCGCTAACTGTCGCCATATCTTCCACCGCGGATGCCTCGATCGGTGGATCGGTTATGGACAGAGGACCTGTCCGTTGTGCCGGACGGTGTTCATTCCAGGTGATTTGCGGAGCGGTGTTTGTAATTTTGACGATAGGCTTTGGGAGGATTCGGAAATCTTTGAAGCACTCCACAGCGATTCTTCTTCTTCGACTCTTCTCTCTGCTGGTTTGTAGCTTTTGGAGATTAGATTTTGTTTTGTTGATGTTGCTGCTTTCTTCTCATGAATCGATATCTGAAAACAGAATAAAGAAGTGAGAAAAAGAGGGGAAAGAGATGGAGATGGAGATGGAGATGGATTGAGTTTGATGGAGGGGATATGTTTGTTGTTCTTCTGTACATACAAAAAAAAAAAAAAAAAAAAAAAAAAAAAAAAAAAAAAGTTCCTAAAAAAAACTGAAAANTCAAATCAAATCAAATCAATTACAGGTCTCAGAATTAGATCATCATCATCATCTTCTTCTTCTAATCCTCTAATTCCTCTCTCTGTTTCTAACAATTCCACTAATGGATTAGAAATTGAAATCGATACAGTATGAGATTTGCTGCGGTGGAATGAATTTGTAGTTTGAGTTCAAATTCTTTCTCAGTCTTGAACTGTATCATAACTTCCACCGTTCTTCTTTTCTCATATACTATTTCTAATGATCAAACTCAATTAACTCAAATTCTGTTTACTTCTCAAGAAATTGTGAAACTGAGGTATGGGGATGAGGTTATTGAAGAACATTGTTGCTATTAGATTGGTTTGGTTTGGAATATTTTGTGGCATTTTACTTCGCATCTAGATTTGAGAATTTTGTTGGCCAGGTTTGTATTCTTTTAATCTCTACCCATTCACCACTCCACTAGATATTCCTTATGCTCCTACCTTACCCCACATTGGTAGTTTCCGCTACTCGATCATTGAATTTTGGGTCCAATTTTTGGCTCTTTTATCAAACCTTATAATTAAAGTAATTATAATCTTAAGAACAAATTTAATTCAAGATAAGATATTAAAATTGTCAAAAGCAAACAAAATTAATAAGAATTCAAGATCGGTCAACAATCTCGACAACGATTTGAATAATTCCTAACGTACAAATAACAAGTTTCTAGTCTAAACTAGAATCACAATAAGATTAAAAGATGGAATGGAATTGAAACAAAAAAAAAAAAAAAAAAAAATGTGGGGGTTAGACATGTGAGTCACATGTGATGCTCTGTAAATGAAGAAACAATCTCTGCAAAAACTTGTTAAAAAGCATCGTCCCAAAGGACAATCCATGGATAGCTTTTTCATTTTTTTTTTTATTAAAAGAATTTTTAAATTATTTTGTCTCCAAATTTCTATGTAACATTTTTTAACTATGGTACCGTAACATTTCTTTTAACTATGGTTAAATAATAAACCCAACCCAACTCAACCATAAACTTTTGGGTTGGGTTGGGTTCTTCCCGTTATTTATTCATAACAATAAATTCGAATTTGTTCAATTCAACTCAATTTAATTCTACGGGAACTCCTCAATCAACCCAATACATAAGTTTTAATTTATTTGAACTCGGTCCAACCCAAATAAGTTCGTAACGTGTTGGGTTGGATTGATCTAGTTTTTTGAACCATTAAATTTTTTAAACACTACTAATCATGTTACGATACGTCCAATATGGGTAATTTCAACATGTTTGGTTCTTTAACATTAAATTACTTTTAACCAAAAGTTTAGTTAATAATTATAATTATTAATTGTTTTAAACTTTTTTCATAATATTTCTCATCGACTTAAATAAACCAATTATAGGTGGGCTGACAGCCTGTCATTATTTGTGGCCCAACTCATCTCTCAGGCCCATTTCTTGTAGTGAGCATTGGCCCAAACCCTCTCTTGGCCCATTTCTTTAGTAAGGCTCGGCCCATTTATTTTCTTTCGATTTAATTATTTTTATTTTATGAGCTAATATGTTTGGTTTTGAGTGTTAAATATTTACGAAATAAAAAAAATGTTATATTATTTTGGTATTTATTTATTATATAGTTTATTAAAGATTTTTTTTGGTAGCTTATAATAATATATATATATATATATTTATTTATTTATTTATTTATTAATACAATTATTAAAAAAAATATTATTGATAATCTCCAAAGTTTTTAAATTAAAAAAAATATCAAATTTGAGAAACTACAAAAAGTTTGTTTCTCAAATTTATATGTTTTTTTAGATTTTTCTCACATTTTTTCTCTTATTTCTCTCTCTTCCATCATATATATATATATATATATATATATATATATATATTTGTTTTTTTTTTTAATTACAAACCAAATATTTTGAATTTATTAGAAATTAGAAAAAAGCACAATTAAAAAAAAATTAAAATTAAAATTAAATACCATAGTTTCGTTAGGAACCCTTCACGTCACTCTTGCAACACGTCTGTCTTTATCTGAAAAGTTTTAAGATGATGAATATTGAAAATACTTAGTAAGAAATTCTCTGGTCGAGATTACATATGCATACATACACAGTAATATACTGCGAATCGATTAACTGATTTTTTTAAAGTGGATTATCCGCACGGATATGTCCTGTGGATTAGAACCGTCGAACTCGACCTTAAACGATGCATAGAGATCTTGATTATTTAGCTGTTTGCTTATGACTAGTTCTCGGAAACGATGAATAAAGTCAAAATCCTGATCCCCTTCCAAAATAAGAAAATAAAATATGAACTCAAAGTGTACGGTGATCTCGATTAACGGGTGACCTTGCATTAACAACAAAAATCAACGGAATCTAATATTTCAACTTTAATAAAAAAAAAAAAGTTTAAAGATCTACCCAAATTAGCAGTAAGTTTTGTGAAATTAACAAGTAGTTAATTTCGAACATGGGAGAGACCAAAACTTATAATCAAATTTATCCACGGTACTTCTCCAAAAAAAAAAAAAAAAGTCGAGATCAAATCTAAATTCCACTGGACAACTTGCATATAACCCTTCGTAATAAGCTTTTTGGAGCTATAATCCAACTGATATCGACGATGGTGATCGAGTATAAGAAAAAAAACTTAGAGCAGAAGGTTAAGCCGAGAAGATGAGTCAAGTCGTGATGACGGTTTGACGAGGACTTTGTCTCAGGTTGTGTGCGTGTGTGAGAGAAGCTGACCCTCGACTAGACTTTTATAGTCAAGAGGTCGACAACTAGAGATTTTTTATTTTAATTTTCACGATATTGCTTTTTTAAATAAGATTTAAAACATTAATAATGAAATAGGAAAATGATATATAATTCAAAAATACAGTTTAAAAAATACTCTTTAATTTTTTTAAGTATATAATTGAAAAACATTAATAATAATATGATTTCTTTTTAAAAATAAAATTTAGGTTTAATGGACGAAAGTTTATGAGTATTTTTAAAAAGTGTACCGTAAAAATATAAAAATATTTTTTAAACAATAAAAATATTTTTGAACTTATTTTAAAATTTAAAGACAGTTTTTAAATATATAATTTTTTTAATTTTCTCAATTCTTAAAAAAATAATTTTAGTGATAAAAAAATAATGAAAAATACTCCCATTAATATATATATATATATTTTTAGTTCTTTTAAAAATGGGTATAAATTAATCACCTAAAATTTCATTCCAACTAAATTAATTTCTATAATTTGATCAAATATTATCATTCAAAAACGATTAAATAATTTAAATTATAAAATAATGGCATGCAACTAAAACAAAAATGTAAATTGACCGAGCATAACTTAGCAAATAAAACGACCAGTACTTCTTACCATTTTATAAGTCACGATTTTCACATTTGTAATTATCGAACTAAACGACGGGATACCGAAACCGTCGAAAAGTAAAAGCTAAGTTTAGTTCATGAACCGGAGATTAAAATTAAAATTTTATTTATTTTCATAAAAGGTACCTTATTATATTTTAATTTAATTGGATTAAATAAAAAAATTGTTGATGATGACTTGATGGCATATTTGCAAAGTGAAAGTGTTTTTATAGTCCAGCAGTAATGGCTTCTTCTTCATGCTCTGCTTCCTCCTCCTCTGTTTAAATATCTCTTCCTTCTTCTTCCTTTTCCTATCAGTTCTTCTTCCTTTCTGGGTTTTGTTTCAGAGACAAGAACAGGAACAGGAACAGGAACAGCAACAGGAACAGGAATCTTGTTCGTTTCCATGTCTTCTGATCTGTTCATTCATGGCGATTCTTCTTCGTCGTCGTCTCTGTTTCGCTGTTCTTCCTCCGATTTGGTTTTCCCTTCTGATGCAGAGCTTCAATTCTTCTCTGATCCTTATTCTCCCAATTTCTCTGATTCCGCCATTGATGTTCTTAACCCACTCGCCGAGGAATTCAATTCCAATTCCAATTCCAATCCCAATCTCAATCAAAATCCCAATCCTCTGGATCAGTTCATACCGATGCAGGGCTTATCCCTCTCTCATGGAAACGATTTCCCTCTCCTCGCCGATCCTTCTTCTTCTTCCTCAAATGGGTTTCAAAATCTCTCCAATTTCCATCTCAATTCAAACTCCTTCAATCAACCCCTCTGTTTCGACCCAATTGAAAATGCCGCCGCCGCCGCCGACAAATCTTTCCTCCACAGAAGCTTCAGTGAAAAGCCAGGCTTCCTCGGCGGCCAATCCCGTCTCGAATCGCTTCTCATGGACTCTCCAAATTTCCCCAATCAGTCCCTCCCCTGCCCAGAATCTGACTTTTTCTCCTCGCAAATCCGACGAGTTTTCAGCGCCGGCGACTTACAGGTATGCTCTGTTTTTCCTCCTCCGACTCAAAAACCCATTTTTTAATACTCTGTTTGTGATGGAATCTCCGTCCAGAATTCCGGCAGGGGGCGATCGGAGAACGGAAGCTCGTTAATGGAGGAAGGGAATTTCAAAGTGGGAAGATACAGTGCAGAGGAGAGAAAAGAGAGGATTTCAAAATACAGAGCAAAACGAACGCAGAGGAATTACAACAAGACGATCAAGGTTAGAAAGACAGAGTAAGAGATTTTTGTTCTTTTTTTTTCTTTTTCTGGGAATTTGAAATGATCAAAGCTTAAGAAATTGATGATCGGCGGCCATTAATGGAAGAGGGTGTGTGGTTTTTGGTAACAGTATGCATGTCGGAAAACGCTAGCCGACAACCGGCCGAGAATACGTGGCAGATTTGCACGCAATGACGAGCCTGGAGAGATTCCCAAAGCTGCATGTTCAACCAGGGAAGAAGACGAAGATGATTTCTGGGTATAATTTTCTTTTTCTTTTCCGATTCTTTTCGGGATATTTCCACCTCAGCTCTTTAATCCGCTTACGTGGCATCAATGAACTCAGTTTCTCCCCCCTCAAATTTCCAATTTTTGCCACCTCATCTCAATTTTACCAATTTCCCATTTTTATTTTTCCTAATTAAATTTATTCATTATTATAATTTCTACCCTATAATTTTTTAAATAATTAAAAAACAACCCAATATGATGATTGAGTTGAGTTAGACTTAGACTGAGAGCTCTATTTTTTTTTGGAAATTATTATAAAATAAAATAAAAGGTGCGGATAAAAATAATTTAATATTTTAAATAAATGGAGTAATTTCCTCAAAACAAGAATAAAATGTTTTTATAATTTTAAAAAATGTAACTAAAAAAAGGAAAAATAAATATTTACATAATAATTAAAATTATTATTATTATTTTGGGATGCAGATTGAAGGAAAGGAATATGGGGAAGTGTACGGACAGATGCAGTTTCAGTATTGTGGATTTTGATCATACTTTGAAGAAGAAGAAGGAGAATTTTTTTTTTGGTTATGGTAAAAAAATGTCAGTAAAATAAGAATTATTGGAGTTTTTTACAGCGTTGAAGGTAGTGGTTAGGGAGGTAAAAAATATATAAAAGAAATCAATTTATGAGATAAAAATATTATATAATATTTCTGACATTTTGTGTGTAAATAGTAATTGATTCCAATAATAATAATAATAATAATAATAAAAACAATTTAAAATTAAAATTCATATTCCGTGGGGATTTTCTATTTTCCCTTTTTCCAATGCTTTTCTTACTTTTATTGTGTTTGTTTCCCGGGAAAGTGAAAATTATATAATATTCTTTTTTTTTCTTAATTAAAATTTTAAATTTTCCATATTTTTTTAAATAATTTTTCACATTTATTGAATAACACAAATAAATTTCATTTATATTTATATAAAATAATTTTGAAAACTAAAAAAAACTGACATAATTCTTTAATAGATATATAAAACGTATATTAAGGAAAATATGAGAAAACATTTTAAAAACAAAAATCAATTTTTCATTTTTCTAAAAAAAATATAAATACTAATTTTTATTTTACCATATAAAGAGACAAGTGAGACGAGGACGGAGACGAGAAATGTAGTCTCTATGTCTGATCCCGTTTAGTTAAGGAGAGAAATCTCTTCCTATTCTCTCCTCCATTTCTCGTTTAAACGAGAATTCTCAGCCTCATTCCAGGTAGATTAAATGAACATCTCTATCCGTCTTCCTTGTCGTTATCGAACCATTATCTCTCCGGGATTCATGCAACCCGTATTCAACCATTATATCCCTGACTCACACCACCAACTACCTTCCTTGTAAGTGTTATAGTTTTTTCGTTGACTTTCTCTAATCAACGCTCGAGGCTTAAATTAGCGAAACCTCATCGGAATTCAATGTTTAAACCAACCTCCCATAAATGAAATTTTTATATTTTTTTATTTTTATACACATTATTATATTATACGAATAATTAAAATAAATAAATAAAAATATAAATAGGAAGTTAACTAAAATTAACAAGGGGAAGTGTATGATAAATTATAATTTAACCCCAAAAAAACCCATTAAAAAATTTGGATAATTAATTAAAATGCAAAATAAAGGGAAAAAATATTGAAGGAAGGAGAGCATTTATTTCTCAGAATCAGAGCTGCAATAAATAAGATTATATTAAAAAGCAAGTAATTGATTACCTATGGAATCACGGACTTCTATCAACTTCTCTCGAACATAGGTCATAGTTCATTACTATCATCGTAGTTAAGCTTCGGTGAGGTCATCCGTCTTATAAGAGGGCTACTTTCGGTTCTATCCGCTCATCTTAAATGGACGGATCTTATTTTGATATATTCTTTTCTATTCTTTGTTATCAGGTAAAATCATGCATTTATATAAGCGAGGGTCGACCTCGTAATTGTTCCAAATGAGCCCTGTCAATTTAGTCAAATCCGTCCTTGTATAGTATAATAACCTTAATCGTGAGGAAGCAACTCTCGTGCTTACCGACTGATTCGATACAAATGTGGACACAGACTAGACAACTTAGTATTAAAGATTAACGGGTCATCCAAAAGTAGTTACAAATTTGGAGAAATTAAACCGGTTGGACAGATCCAACTAAATCGAATGAGACTGATCAATTCGTCATCCCTACCAATTAATTACGTTAATTTTAATGATATATGTATGTTAGTTATGTGAACGATGAAAATGTTTTATGCAATGAATCATTACTATGATGCATCGTGTATTAAGACGTTTTCTACCTGTGGGACCTCATGTATGTATGTAATTCATATAAACATGAAAAGTGATATATTCGATTTTTCTTCTTTCCATGACTTTCACGTGGTCTCCACTGTTATTAAAGCATTGAGATGTGAGGTCGAGGTCGATGTTGATGTTGCTTACGTATGAGTACTCGACGAGACTCGAGCGATACTAAATCAGTAGAAGCTCGGTGGTTGTTGTACATGCAAAAGTGGTGCACGTAAAATCATATGTATGAAATAGATACGCATCTCGAACCTACTGGAAAAAATAATTTTAAGTTCAATTAGAAATAATTTCTTTTATATAAATCAAATAATTTTATTTTTATCAATAATTAACTCATATTCTTGAAATGAGTGGGTCCCACCCAACATACCCAAATTAGAAAAAAAGAACAAAATCTTGATAATAATAAAAAAAATACTTTAATAAATATTTAAAATAATAATAATAATAATATAAGTAAAAAAGTAAAATAGAGATGAAAGTGGAGTATTCAAACTCCAATAAGAAAAAAGTCAAAAATAATTTTTAACGGTGGATTAATGTTTTAAAAAATAGTTTATTTTTTTATACCATCCTTTAAGTGATGTCAAATCTTTAAGTAATAAATGTAAAAAAAAAAATAAACCTATGGTTTATTTAGTATGGTAAAAAATTATAATTTTTTACCCTGCCTTTACCAATTGGGATTCTCTTATTAATTTTACACCTTTCAATAAAGCTACAAAATAAAAAATAAAATAACGTAATAAATTTTTAATTAATTTTTATTAAAAAAAAAATTAGATTACTTACCTAATGGTATTTTTAAAATTAAATTTATAAGGATTTCTTTTTTAAAAAAGAATTAAATAACCATAAAGTTATAATCATATTAAATGAGTTATTTTACACGAGCATTAGTTGTAGAATCTTTAATATATATATATATATATATATATTTTTTAATTTTACATTTCCACTAAAATGGTAATATTAATATAAATAGTCTTGATCAAAAAATAAAATTAAAAAAATATTCAAATATTGAAAAGCACAATTAAATTAATTTAAGTAAGTTTTTTAATATTATACAAAATTAAATGATAGATGAATTGCCCTGTCACAATAATTATTAAATCTTCTACAAAAAATATTTGTTTGGATAATTTTTTTAAAAAAATTAAAAATAGTAATTTTTAGTGTAATTTGAAGGAATATAAAAAATAAAAATTTTATCGATCATTGAATAAGATGAGATTCTCGATAGGTGTCATTCAGTTCAAAATTTCAACTCGAGATTAAGGCATATTTTCAGTACAACCACGACAATTTTGTAACGAAAAGAGATGCTTTTTTGTGTTATAAAGTTGATGACTCCAACAATTCTTCTTTTCCTAACACGAAAAGAAAAAATTAAAAATTAAAAAATAAATAATAAAAAATACTTTAATTTGATTGAATAGAATTTGAAAGCACCAAAAGACCAACAATGATTCCAAGCAATCACTTTTTTTTTTTTTTTAATTTAAAAATATAATTATTTTTGGCTTTTGACCAAAACATTACTAAAAAAATAATAATAGTTAATATAATTGGGCATGATTGTATTTAAATATTTGAGTTTATTGGTAATATTATCTCCAATTATTCCCTTTACAACTTAGCCTTTTCCTTAAATTATTTACATACAATACCTATAATCCAACCCCTACTGCTTAAATTATTGCTAATATTTGAGGAGAAAATGTAACGACCCATGGGCAAGATTCGGTGGCCCTGATGTTTCCTGCATCTCTTATGACATGGTCATGTAACGACCCATGGACAAGATTCGGTGGCCCTAACGTTCCCTGCATCTCCTACGACATGGTCATGTAACGACCCATGGACAAGATTCGGTAGTCCTGATGTTCCCTGCATCTCCTATTACATGGTCTTGTAATGGCACATGGGCAAGATTAGGTGGCCTTAATGTTCCCTGCACCTCCTATGATATGGTCATGTAACAGCCCATGGACAAGATTCGGTGGCCTTGATGTTCCCTGCATCTCCCACGATATGGCCATGTAACGACCCATGGACAAGATTCGGTGGCACTGACGTTCCCAGCATCTCCTACGACATGGTCATGTAACGGCCTATGGGCAAGATTCGGTGGCCCTGACGTTTCCTGCATCTCCTACGACATGGTCATGTAACGATCCATGGGCAAGATTCGATGGCCCTGACGTTCCCTGTATCTCCTACAACATGGTCATGTAACTGCGAATGGGCAAGATTTGATGGCCTTAACATTCCTTGCATCTCTTACGACATGGTCATGTAACGACCCATGTGCAAGATTCGGTGGCCCTGACGTTCCCTACATCTCCTACAACACGATTACGTCACTTGCTCCTCGTTTCTTAAAAGTGAAGACTTATCCCCACAGACCAACACGAAATTCCTAGGTCACACAACATACAATTGTTCTAAGTAAAACACGCTTAACCATGAAATTCTTATGATTGAGCTACCGAAAAAGAAGATGTACTTTATTCGTACAGGTAGTAACTTTCATTTGTTTTAAGTATTTCTCAGTGTTCTCATTCAAATGTGGGGTTCATTCATGTATGTCACAAAAATTTTAAATTCAAGAGTATATACTCACACATAGGACGCACGTTAGAATATTTATTTTAACAAAAATATATCTCGAGATATAAATTACCTTAAATTCACATTTAAGGTAAAGATTACGACACTCATTTAAATTTAATACAAATTGTTTTAAACCAATCAAATCGTGTTAAACATTGGTCTGGTTTCTTCCATAAAATCATATGATTAAAGAAAAAAATATACATAAGTGAAGGTAAAATGATGATGATCATCATCACTTAATGGACCATATACTTAATATTGTTTTATATAAACATTATATTATAATTTTATATTATTCTTAATGCTCTTCAAAGCTTGAAAATGACACAACCAAATTATAATTAAACAAAACCATAAACATATTTTAAAAAATTATTATTATTTATTTAAGCAAAAAAAGAATATTAACCCAAAAGAAAAAAAAAAGTAGGAATTAATTCAATATTAAATTAATTAATAATTAATTAATTAAATCAGATACCCTTTGGACTAAAAAGAAAAGAAGAATTGTTTCCTTTTTAAAGGGAACTAAGAGCTTGAATGTCAAGTTTATGCAACTGCTGAGTTGGAAACTTTCCTTTTATTCACCCCTTAAATATTATTAATATATATATATATATATACTAACACGTATTCTTTTAAGATATTTTGTCCCGACTTATATCGAGCAGAACACATATTTAACCTTAAAGTTCTCTAAAATTA